GTGCCTGCAGCACCCCTGTCCGGGGTGCAGACTGGAGGTGGGGTCAGCGCTTGGACTGGGAGGGCGACTCCAGAGGCGTCTGCGCAGCCCTTCCAGAAAAGTCCTCGCTGCGGCCCGGGCTTGTCTGATGCGGTTTCGGTGACTCTGGCTTCCCGAGGGTCCGGAGGAGGCGGGGTCCTGACACAGCGGAACCTGCTCCCCGCTCTGCACCCACGGGTGGGCTGGCTAACCGCCCCGCGCCCCGCCCCCAGGGGAGGGGGCTCCCTGGCCCGACTCGCCTGGCGGCCGGGATGGGGGTTAGGAGTACGGGGGTCGGGGCGGAGGCGTGGCGCGGCGGGAGCGGCAGGGGCGGGGCGGGGGCGGGGGCGGGGCGGGGGGCGGGGCGGGGCGGCCCGGGAGCGGCAGGGACCGGAGCGGTGGGGGCGGGGCGGGGCGGGGCGGCGGGGGCCGGGATCGGGGCGGGGCCCGCGGCCGGGGCCCGCCCCCTCAGCGCCCCGAGTTCTGTGCGGCTGCGAGCGCGCTGTGCCTTGCGTCTCTGCAGCCCTTGCGGAGCGCGGCATCTTCGGAACCCCGGACCCCGCGCCCCTCGGCCTGGCCTACGGTGAGTGCGAGGGCTCCGGACGGGCTCGGGGCGCCGTTCCCTGCGGCTGCCCCCCTGGCGCCCGGTCAGGCTCCTGCGTTGCGAAGCCCGAGGGGCGCGGGGAAGACACCCGAGGAGGAGGGCGGCGGGAGGTCGGGAACACGCGCCCTTGGCTCCGGGGAAACTGAGGCTGACTCGTGCTCGGAGGGCCCGCGTCCCCAAGAGCGCCCGAGCGGGCGGGAACCGAGGGGGCGGGCAGCAGGACCCCCCCCACGACACCGGGGGCCCCATCCCTGTCGCAGGCCTCTGGTGGGTCGCCGCCTGCGACTTCAGAGACGCTCCGCCGGGGGTCCCAGGTGCCCCCAGCGCCCCGTCCCTCCCACCCTGCCTCGAGTCGCAGTAGGACTCCTAGTCTCCACGAATCTCTCCAGGGGTCGGAACACTGTAAAACAACACGCACCCACCAGGCTCCTGACCTGCCGGCGACCACCCGCTCATCGGGGAGGGGAAGACCTCCACGGAACTGGGGCCCCCACCCCCGAGGCTCGGGGCGGGGGGCGGGTGGGGAGGGAGGGGAACATCGCGGTGGAGGGTGAGTAATGACGGGGAGGGAGCCTCGGAGGAAGAACGGATGGAGAATTTCATTTTTCATGCGTTCATTCTAGAAGCATCTAGGTAGCTCCTTACAGTTGATCTCAGGCTTCCCTCGGGCTTCAGGTCCAGCTACAGAGGGCCTTAAAGTCACATTCCCAGCCCCCCCACCCAGGAATCAGGTTGAGGTCGGATCTCAGGGAGCAGCGGTCGTGATGGACACTGTGCTGTGTGCAGGGGAGCACTGTCTAGGGAGTCACAGGCACCACAGCCAAAAATCCATTTAAAAAAAAAAAAAAGGGTCTGGCTGGGCTGGAAAGAGAAGACCGAGAGGGCGACATGGAGACCAGGATGTGGGGCCAGACACCCTGCCACACCCAGGGCAGCATCAATGGACCCCTGCCCCCGCTTCACCAGGGACCACATTTTGGTAAGAAGGACCTGGTGTTCTGAGTGTTTATTATAAAGGTGTTTATTCACCGTGAAGGAGGCCAGGCGGCCCCAGGGGACACTGACTAGAAGGACACACACCTGCCTTGGTGCCACCTAAGCCCACAGGTGAGCTTACAGGACAGCCTCCAGGCCGGTCAGCCCAGGCCGGGGCTGTGAAACGGGGCAGTGATATCCACTTTGCAGAATTGTCGTTTCCCATTCAACCTGGGTCTTGAAGACACCCAGGGGACAGGGTGGGCCCGGCCCTTCCGGCATGGCCCCAGTGCCAGCGTGGCATTCAGCTCCTCAGCCAGCCTCCCTTTACCCGTTGGGCAGCGCTTCTGGCCCTGGTGGCCGGGCGTGAGCAAAGGATACAGACACACATTGCTGTAGGCTGCTGCCCAGGCCCAGGAGGGACAGAGACGGGGAGAGCTCAAGGAGGGGCTCTGTCGGCAGCTGGCAGAGGGTCCCTGCGGCCGCAAGTGCTTCCTGGGGCTCAGCCACGCACCCACCGTGGCTCTGTGTGAGGTGCTGGCTGGCTCCCAGGGCCCAGGCCATTCCGGGCAGAAACGTCATCAGTGCCCTAGCGGCCGAGGGTTTCCAGGGCAACGGGAGGTGTGTCTGGGCACCCAGGGCTGAGCCGTCTCTCCCAGACACCTGTGTCCAGACGCCACTTTTGCTCCCATCCAGTCCACGGGCTGAGGGAGGGAGCGCCACAGAGGGGGAGGCCCCCTGCCCGGACCCCAGAACTCAGGGTGGGCCGGGAGCTTAGAGCTTGAACACCGTGGTCAGAGTGGAGTTCACCCCTGGCCGCTTGCTGGCTCTGTGGCCTTGAGTAAGCTCCTAACCCCTCATTTGGGGGCTTTTGGGGGCTGTGATTATCAGGTGAGGTGGCTCCCCCTCTACCTTGAACAGTTTACTGTCACAAAGACACCCTGTTTCTGTGGCTCAGGCCACTTGGCTCCTGCGTCATGTTTGTCTCTGCGACTGTGAGCCCCTGTAGCCCCCGTCACATGCAGACGCAATTGGCGGTTGCCCTGGCAACAGCTCAAGCAGTGGCTGCTCCCTTGGCTTCGGGGGGCTGCGGCGGTAGTGGCCTCTTCCCCACAGCTAGAGAGGAGAAGGGGGGCCCTGATGCCCGTCCCCTTAAGTCCTCACCGCTGGCAGTAGGGGCGGCAGCTTCCAGAACTACGTGCCAAGCCGCTGAGCCCCCTCCACACATCCCCCGCCCAGTCTTTGCGGGGAGGCCGCCAGGAGCAGGCACTGAGAAGTACGAGGAAGCTGGGGCCTCACTTCAGGGCATGAGGCAGCTGTCCTTTCTGTCCCCAGCTCTCGGGCCAGGTCAGATGAGACCCTCTGAGCCTGGCATTGTCCGGGGCTCCGTAGGACCAGGGCTGGGGCACCAGGGAACAGGAGGAAGGGCTGTCTGCGGTGGTGGCCTGAGCTGCTGGGGGGAACGAGCAGGGACGGCAGTCCTGGGGCCACTGAGAGACAGACAGACACAGCTGGGGGCGGGGATCCGATTTGTTCCACAAAACCTGCTCAGGACTCATGAGGTGCCGCCTGCCCCGGCCCCAGCTCTCCCAAAAGGGCCTGTGATTCTAAGGAGGCGTAGCAGATGCTACGTGCAGCAACACGGGCACAGCCTGGGGAGCTGGCCCGGGCAGAGGTGGGTCTACCCCGGCTGTGCCACCAGCGGCCCATGAGATCTGGGGCGAGCGTACTTAGATCCAGCTGAGCCCCGTTGCCCTATTTTGCCCAGTAAAAGTGCAGCGCTCCTCTGCACGGGCTGTGCCTGGCCCGGGGGTGCCCTCAGTGCGTGGACGAGTGAGCACCGGCAGGGAAGGGACCGGGCAGTGAGTGCAAACGCCCCGTGGCACCCCGCGGGGAGCGCGGTATGTCCTGTCACCGGAGCCAGGCTGACAGTCCGGGACACGGAAGTCCGAGGGGCAGATTCAGCCTAGCGGGGTGGGGGTGGGGCCAGCACTTTCCTCTGATAGTTTTCAGCAGGTGCACCAGGACCCCCCTGGGGGTTTGGGGAGACCCGGGGCCTGAGCTTGTTGCCCGAGCAGGGAAGAGGCAGGTGCCTGCGCTGGGCAGGGCTGTGGAGGGGGAGGGCTCGAGGGCCCGCAGCTGCTCAGTGGTCCTCCTGCCCTTCCTCCTGGGGTCAGCAGGGGACACCGTGTCCCCCCGGAGGAGGTGTGCAGGGTGACAGTGAGCTGGCTTCCCAGGGTGGCAGAGCCGGGAGAGGCTGGAGACAGCAGTGGGAGCGGCAGGCCTCCGCCGGGGAGGCCCAGGGCCCCGCCACCCAGACAGCAAGGTGCCCCCCATACCCACAGGTGCCTCCTCCTGGGGTCACTGGCTCGGCACCCCCACCCCCGGGGCTCAGCCCCGCACAGGTTGTGTCCGCACTGAGCCGAGTGACCAGGACTGAGCTGGCTTCAGGTGCCAACGAGGGGCTGCGTGGCCCAGGCTTTACTCCTTGGCAAAAAGCCCCTCTCTGTCCCAGCCGTGACATCTGTCGGCTGCCGCAAGCAGGACACGGACACGGTAGTCTGGTGCCACGCCAACACGGGGCATTTTCAGGACAGGAGAGGGAGAGTGCGCAGGGCCTCGCCCCCCAAACTCCTCAGAAGGGGCAGGACTTGCTCCACGGTTTCATTTCTCCTGACTGCGGGCAACAGACCGTTCCCTGCAGGGCGGCCCGAGGACTGAGGCTGGGGCGCTGTCCCTGGCGGCGCCAGGTGGGTGAGGACCCGCCAGTGGCCCCTCCTGCGCATGCTGGTCACTCAGGGTGAAGGGATGTCAGGGAGGGCCCCAGGCTCGGTGGCCTCTGCTTGCCCGAGCTCCTCTGCAGGATGAGGATTGGGGGGGTCCCGGCGGGGGGCTGCCTCCTGCACGGCCTGTGCCCGACCGGGCCCCAGAGCGGACCACACAGGCTGGGTGGGCTGGCCACCCCTCCCCCACAACTCCGTCGCCTTTGCAAAGCGCCCAGGAGACACGGGCACTTGCCGCCGAGCCGTCCTAGGACTCCAGGGACACAGCCAGGGGTCGCAGCCCTGGGTGGGCGCCGGTGGGCGTATGCGGAGGAACGGCCGCTCTGCGGGGAACCGGTCAGCTCGCGCCGGCCCGGAAGCGGTCCTGCCAGGATGTCCCGTTTTGCAGATGGGGCATGAAGGCTTCGGGAGACCAAGGGACGCCCCGGGTGCCCGGCGGCCGTCCCGCGCCCCCACCCCGCCGCCGCCCCCTGCTGCGCAGGCCGAGGACCGCAGCCTCTGGGGTTCCGGCTAGTCCGTTCATTGCCGGACGAGCGCCGGGGGCGGTTTCCGGGGCCGGCGTGGCAGGGCTGGGGGGCGCGCAGACGCTGTAGCCACGCCCTGCCCGCACAGCCCCCGCCATGACGACCCTGCTGGAGATCAAGAGCAGCGTGCTGAGGCAGGTGCAGGTGCGCCCCTCCTCCCGCCGCAGGACCGACGCAGCGGGCGCCGCCGGCGCGGACCCCCAGGAGCCGGCCGCGGGGGCCTGGTGCGTGCTCCGCGCCCCACGCACCGCCGTGCGCCCTCTGCTGGACCCCCCGGGAGCTGGGAGAGGGGCGCGCCGTGGGCGTGACGCCGGGCCCCCGGATGTGGGGAGGCGGGGCGGGGGGGGGATCCCCTCGAGTCGTAGGGCCCGCAGCTGGTCCTGGGCAGCGGCGGGGGGGTGGGGTGCCGTGAGCCCCAGCTTCAGGCCTGGCCTTTCCCTGCAGGAAACCGGGGGACGGCGTGGAGTTCTTCGCGCACATGCGCCTCATTCTGAAGAAGGGGGAAGGCAGACAGGGGCTGCCCTGCCCCGAGGTGAGGACGACTCGGGCTGCTCCTCCGTGTGGGGCGCCCCGCTGGGCCCCTCTGCACGGACCCCCACCCCTCAGATCGACTCCCGCTGCCCCTGGGGCCCTCCCCCTGGGAGACCCTCACCCCAGTGCCCCTCACAGGTCCTCCTGCGCAGCGGTTCGCCAGCCCCCGCTGAGCCTGTGGACCCCAACCTTGGCCTGAGAGCTCTGAGCCAGGAGGAGGTAAGGGAGTGGGCGGCCTGGCCCCAGGGAGGGTCGGGAGCACCTATGGTGGGCCCCGCCCGGGTTCCGAGGACAAGGTGGACAGCAAAGGTGGCAGGGGTGAGTGGGCCGGGACTTCCCACCCAGCGAGTAGGGAGCGGAGCTCAGGGGGTCAGTGCAGGGCCCAGGGGGTCTGCCAGTGGGCGGAGCTCCTGAGGACTGGGGGCCCAGCAAACAGGGGTGGAGCCGGGACCCCCAGAGGCCGGCGCTCAGGGCCTGGGGCTGAAGGGTCCAGGGATGGGGTGGCAGGGACTCAGTGTGTGCCCTGCCCCACCCACAGGTGGAGATGCTCTATGAGGAGGCCTTGTACACGGTCCTGTACCGGGCAGGGACCCTGGGCCCTGACCAGGTGGATGACCAGGAGACCCTGCTGGGCTACCTGCAGCAGGTGAGCCCCCTGCCCCGCCCTCCCTGCCGGCCTGGCCCCGCCCCGTCAGGGGAGAGCTGAAACCACTGTCTGTCTTCCGCCCCGAGACGTCACCGTCACCCAGATGACACACGGACTCGTCCCATGTCCAGAACACACACAAACCCACTCGCTCATGCAGATGCACATAGGCGCTGATGGGTGCCCAGGAGGATGGAGAGATGGACAGACACGCAAAGAAGGGTAGAAAGAAGGACAAACTGACAGAGGAACAGACGCAGAGGATGGATGGATTGATAAACAGATCTTTCCTCCTCCCCTGTGTGTGATCCCTCTGCCCTGGAGGCGCCCAGACAATGACGAGGTCGGCCTCGGGGGTACCTGGGCCCTCACACCGGCCCCCTCTCTCCAGGTGTTTGGTACCAGCCCTGAGGAGCACGCCGAAGCCATTGAGCGTGTGAAGAAGGCCAAGGTGAGGCTGCCACCCACGTGGGCAGGCGCTGGCCAGCCGCAGTGCTAGGGCTCAGGGGCGGAGGGGACACAGAGCAGGTCCTTGGCACGGTCACACCGAGCTTCCCGCAAGAGGCTGGTCAGCACCGTCTGCCCACAGGCCCCCACGTACGCCCTGAAAGTCTCTGTCATGCGTGCCAAGAACCTGCTGGCCAAGGACCCCAATGGTGAGTGGGGGCCAGCCAGGACCTTGGCTGCGCCCAGGGCCGGTGGCCGTGGAGGGACGGAGGGCCCAGGGCCGGCGGCTGAGGTGCCCGCTGTGTCTCAGGCTTCAGTGACCCGTACTGCATGCTGGGAATCCTGCCCGCCTCGGGCGCCCCCCGGGAGCCGGGGCCGCGCACGGAGCAGCGCTTCAGCTTCCGCAAAGGCAGCAAGCGTGCAGGCCCACTCCCGGCCAAGTGCATCCAGGTCACCGAGGTCAAGAGCAGCACCTTGAACCCTGTCTGGAAGGAGGACTTCGTCTTGTAAGGCCGCTGGCCCAGTGGGGCGGCAGGGCGGTCGGGCAGGGGTTGAGCAGGTCCTGAGGACGGAGGTGGGCGCTGCGACACTGTACCTGGTCTCAGGGCCTGCCCCAGTGGGGGGTCCTAGTGGGGAGCTGGTCACGTGGCCACTTTCCAGAGGGAAAAACAGTCTCAGAGGGAGGTGCCATGCCCCAGTGGCCACACAGTCAGGATTCAAATCCAGGTGGCGTGTCCTGAAAGCCGGGGCTCCCGGACCCCTCCCTGCAGCTCCAGACAGTGCCCTGCCCCAGCCCTGGGCAGGGGGCGTCCTGCAGCCTCCGGGCTTCTCTCTGTTTCCCTTACAGCGAGATTGAGGATGTCAGCGCGGACCAGCTGCACCTGGACATCTGGTAGAGGCCCCTGGGCCCTGCACGGCAGGGGTGTGGGTACACCTGCTGGGGGGAGGGTTGAGAGAGGACACTCAGGGGCCAGCCAGGCTCCAGACAAGCCAGGTGTGCCCCCGCACCCCACCCCCAGGGACCATGATGATGACGTGTCTCTGGTGGAAGCGTGCAGGAAGCTGAATGAGGTCATCGGCCTGAAGGGCATGAGCAGGTATGACAGGTGGGACCCTAGTGCCCCCCAGACACCGGGGCTGCAGACGGTGGCTCCCCAGGGACCACAGGTGGGGCTGCCCCCCTGTTTTGCCCAGGTATTTTAAACAGATTGTCAAGTCGGCCCGAGCAAACGGGACAGCAGGGCCCACGGAGGACCACACTGATGACTTCCTGGGGTGCCTCAACATACCCGTCCGGGTGAGTGGCTGCCAGGGCTCATTCACAGGGCACCTGTTTGTGGTGCCTCATCCTGCTTCTGGGGATATTGCTGGTGGCTCTGCCCTGTGATCCCCCCAAGTGTCTCATCCTTCTTGGGCGGGTGGGGCCTTGAGCTGCAGGGGAGGGGGAAGGAACGGCTTCCTGGGTGTCCAGCCACCCCTGAGGGCTCACTCGGTGCCGACTGCCCGTGTCCAGGGGGAAGCAGAGGCCTGTGTTCTCCCCCTGGTCCCACAGAGTCCGCGGGAGGGAGGGGGGATTGCCAGTCTGAACCGTCTTCCTTCAGGAGGTGCCCGTGGCGGGTGAAGACCGCTGGTTCAAGCTGGAACCACGCTCCAGCGCCTCCCGCGTTCAGGGAGACTGCCAGCTGGTCCTCAAGCTGATCACCACACAGGTGAGGAGCTGTGCATCGTGGCCCTGCACCCCTGCCCGCGGGCTTGGGCAGGGCTGGTGATGGGCGAGCCCTGCATTCCAGAGGGACACGGTCATGAGCCAGCGCGGGCGGTCGGGCTTCCTGTCCTATATGCTGCTGCTCGGTCGTCTCCTGCAGTTCGAGCACCGACCCGAGGAGGTAGCCGCACCCTCGGGACGGGACGCACTCCCTGGGGCGGGAGAGCAGGGGAGGCTGGGCACCGGGGTTAGGAGGGGATGGCGCCCCCTGCCTGCATCCACGCCTGCCCCCGACTCCCCCAGCCCAAGGCGAGCTGCTGGCGGGGAGAGCTCAGCGGGCCCGCGGCCACGATCCTCTGCCTGCACGGCGCGCAAAACAACCTGTCTGCGCTGCAGCTGGCGGTGCTGTGAGTGGGCGGGGCCCCCGGGGGCGGGGCCCAGGGAGGCGGAGGGCAGGGCTTGCTGGGGGCGGGGCTCCCGGGGTCGTGGCCCAGGGAGGCGGAGGGCAGGGCTTGCTGGGGGCGGGGCAAGCGGGGAAAGGAGTCCTCTCAGTGGGAAGGGATGGAAGGCGGCGGTGCCATAGGGGAGTTGTGGGAGGGTAAGGGGCAAGTAGGAGGGCCACGGGGGTCTCCTCGGGGTCTCCGTGACCGTGGGCGGGGCTGCCCCACACACCCGCAGGCACTGGCAGGTTAGCAGCCGCCACCATCAGACCCGCACCCTGGACTACGGCTACCTGCTGGGGCTGCTGGAGGACATGCAGGCGCACTGGGAGGAGGCGTCTTCACTGCCCCAAGGGCAGGTGAGCTGTTCCTGAAGGGTGTGCTGGGCGGCAGCTGGCGCTGGCCGGGCAGAGTCCTGCCCTCATGGGGTGCTCAGCCTATAGGGCCGAGTGGGGTTGAAAACAAACTTCCTGACCCAGGATGGGCAACGCTGCGACGGGATGAGTCGGAGACCCAGGGGAGGGAGGTCGCGCCCTCCCTCTGGGTGAGGGATGGAGGGAGTGGGTGCTCGAAGCTGGGCAGGGGGAACCGGTGGTGCAGAAGCCCGGAGGCCGTGGGAACTGTGGTGGCAGAGTTAGGAGAAACCAGCAGGGCCAGGACATGGATGGCCCAAGGAGGCCCTTGAAGACTGGCTGCCGCCCCCCATCCCGTGGGGAGGGCAGTGGGGGTCAGCTCTGACGGGCCGCGGCCTCCAGGAGGAGAGCCTGGCTGACAGCTTCAATGCCTTCTCGGAGTTTGGGCTGCGGCTGCTGCGCCAGCTTCGAGACTTCTTCCCGGCCACCAACAGCACAGCCGTCTACCGCCTGGAGCTGCTGCTCAAGTGGGTGCGGCCGCGTGCGGGCCGGGGTGGGGGAGGTGGGGGTGCGGGGGGGGGGGTAGGGAACTGGGCGGGGCAGCGCACAGTCAGCGGGCGGCCCCTCCAGGTGCCTCAGCAAGATGCAGATCTTCCAGCCTTCCTTTGAGGCGCGCTCCTTCCGGACGGAGCTCAACGCCGACATCTCCGCTGCTCTGAAGGTGTGTCTGCGGGGCGCGTGTGGCCGGTGCCTGCCCCCAGCGCCTGGCCATGCCCGCCCCCGGCTCCGGGCCCGCTCTACCACGCTTCAGGGCCCCTTTAACCTATCCCCCGCTCACCACCCCGGCTTGGTGACTCGTCTTGCAGAGAGGCAACCGCGAATGGTACGACAGGCTCCTGAGCGCCAAGAGTCCTCGCGAGCAGGTGCCGCAGGGGAGGGACGGGGAGGGGGCCGGCAAGTAGGCGCGGGCCACAGGTCAGCGTGAACCGGGCTTCCTCGCAGCCGGGGCCGCAGCGCCTTGCCGGGCTGGTCGAGCTGGCTGATGCCGTCTACGAGGACCTGCAGGCCTGCTACGGGGTCTACGCCAGCCTCTTCCACAGGTGGGGCCCCGGGCTCTTCCTGCGACCCGTGCCGCGCCCCTCAGCGATGCCGATGCCACCGGGCCGGGGGCGGGGCAAGCCGACGTGCGGAATTTGTTCTTTGCAGCATCACGGACATCGACTTCTTCACCCTCACTTTCCGGCAGCTGGAGCGGCTGGTGAGAGGCTGTGGGGAGAACCCCCCTGGCTAGGAGGGGCCCGGCTTTCCTTGTTGCCAGTGGCCTGACTCCACCCTCCCGAGCAGGTGGCTGAGGAGGCATGGGTGCTGACGGAGGAGCTGAGCCCCAAGATGACCCTCGAGGTGGCTTCGGGGCTCTTCGAACTGTACGTGACCCTGGCGGACATCCAGCGTTTCTGGAGCAGCATCCTCGGCTGGTGGGTGCTCTGCCCCCCCCCGCCCCCGTCTGTCGTCTCCTTCCACCGTTGCGTCCCAGCCCTGCACCCACTCCCCCCGTCCTCCAGCCTCATCTGGGAGGCCTCTGGGACAGCCCGAGGGCCCTCTGAGGCAGGCTCTCCCAGGTGCCCCCTTGGGCGGGGAACCAGGCCTGTGCTGGCTCAAGGTGTCCGTGCGAGCTGACCAGCCTCCTGCCACAGCGACAGCCGCTCCCTCGCCCTGGCTGGCATCCACGCCCCGTTCCTGCCCGCCGTGAAGCTTTGGCTGCAGGTGCTGCGGGACCAGGTCAGGTGGAGACTTCAGGGAGCTGTGGATGTGGACACGGTAAGCACCCGGGCCTGAGGGTGCTGCGCTCAGCCAGGGCCCCCCCTGCAACCCAGGCCTCCTCCCGCCTTCCTAGCTGGAGCCCATGGACACCTCCTCCAAGCACAGCAGTTCTGCGGCCACGGCTAGCCTCTGCTTCAGTCACATCCAGGAGCTGTGGGCCCGCCTGGCGTGGCCGGACCCCACCCAGGCCCAGGCCCTCGGCACCCAGCTCAGCCAGGTGTGTTGGCCATGGGCTGGGAAGCATGATCTGGGAGGAGCCAGGAGTCTGGAAGGGCAGCGGGACCGGGGGGCACAGCCCGCATCTCCTGAGCCCTCGTCTCCCACCGCAGGACCTGTGTGCGGCCACCCTCTTCTACACGGAGCTGCTGCGGAAGAAGGTGGACGCCCAGCCGGGGGCCTCGGGCGAGGCAGTGAGCGAGCCGGTGAGCGGGCTGGCGGGCGGGGCGCGGGGCCGGGGCGGGCAGGGGGCGGGGCCGAGGGATGCCGACCCGCCCCCGCGTGGCACACCTCCCCAGCTCTGCGTGGTTCTCAACAACGTGGAGCTCCTACGCAAGGCTGCGGGGCAGACGCTGCGGGGTCTGGCCCGGCTGGAGGCGACCGCGGGGCCCGAGGCGGCGCTCCCGCGTCCTCTGCTTAGCTGTGCGCAGGCCCTGGATGAAGACCTGCAGCAGGAGGTCCACACCGTGACGGCGCACCTGACCTCCAAGGTGGGCGGGCGGGTGGAGGCCCCCGGCTGCCCCCTCACAGTGCCGCTTGGTGCTGAGCTGTGCCGTCCCCCAGATGGTGGCTGACATCAGGAAGTACGTGCAGCACATCAGCCTGTCGCCAGACTCCATCCAGAACGATGAAGTGAGGGCCTGGGCACCCAGGGGAGTTGCGCGGGGCGGGGCCTGGGGCAATGTGGCACTGAGGATGCTGCCCGCAGGCCGTGGCCCCGCTCATGAAGTACCTGGATGAGAAGCTGGCCCTGCTGAATACCTCGCTGGTGAAAGAGAACCTGAGCAGGTACAGCTCGGGGTGGGCGGGCTGGGGCGGGGCCTGGGGTCCCTTGGGATCAGGACACGGAGTGTCCCTGCAGGGTGCTGGAGGCGCTCTGGGAGCTGCTCCTGCAAGCCATCCTTCGGGCTCTGGGTGCAAACTTTGACGTCTCTGCTGATTTCTATGGCCGCTTCCACTTCACGCTGGAGGTAGGGCCTGGTGGCGGGGCCTCCCGGGAAGGGGGCCTTCCCCAGGGGACCCTGTCACATGACCCCTCCCCTGGAACTCCACCAGACCAGTGTCTCCTCCCTGCTGGCCTGCCTGTGTCAGCAGCCCCTGGGTCACCTGGTAAGACGGTTGTCTGGCCCCAGCCACTGGCATTCTCCCCAGTTTGCTGGTGGCTTCTAGGCGTGACAGGCGGCTCTGCCCTGGGCTCCCAGGTGCCCTGGTGCTGCTCAGGGCTCTGCCTGTCCCAGCCATAGCCCCAGCACGAGCGGTGCCCCGTTTCTCTCCCCCCTTGCCCTGCCCCAGGCCCTGGTGAATTTTTTCCACGCGGAGGGCCAGGGTCTCCCCCTCGAGAGCCTGAAAGACGGAAGCTACAAGGTGAGTTTGGCCCCGGGGTCTCGGTCAGTGGGAGAGGGTGGTGCGGCGCGGGGCCTGTGTTCAGCAACCCCTCGGCTCCGCAGAGGCTGGAGGAGGAGCTGCGCCTGCATCAGTGCTCCACCCGCGAGTGCATCGAGCAGTACTACCTGGACAAGCTCAAACAGGTAGTGAGGCCCGGTGTGCACACCCGCAGTGTGGGCTCGCGGCCCCTCCCCTCGAGCCCCTGCGCCGCGGTCACTGGCGCAAGCCCTTCCGCAGAGGTCCCTGGAGCGGAACCGGTTCGGGCGCCTGAGCGTGCGCTGCCACTACGAGGCAGCTGAGCAGCGGCTGGTGGTGGAGGTGCTGCACGCCGCGGACCTGCCCCCGCTGGACGCCAACGGTGAGGGGGCGGGGCCGGGAGCAGTGCAGGGGTGGGGGGTGGGGCGCTGGGTGGCGGTGCTCAGCCCGCTCGCCGCTGTGCCCCCTAGGCCTCAGTGACCCATTTGTGATCGTGGAGCTGGGCCCGCCACACGTCTTCCCGCTGGTCCGCAGCCAGAGGACCCAGGTCAGGAACCGGACCCTGCACCCCGTGTACGACGAGCTCTTCTACTTGTGAGTGTCCCTCCCCCGCCAGCCCGTGCCCCCCATCCCCCGGACGCGGAGCAGGGCTCCAGGGACTGCCCTTCGCCCGCAGCTCCGTGCCAGCAGAGGCGTGCCGCCGCCGCGCTGCCTGCGTGCTGTTCACCGTCATGGACCACGACTGGCTGTCCACCAACGACTTCGCGGGGGAGGCAGCCCTTGGCCTGGCCAGCGTCGGGGGCATAGCACGGCCCCAGGTGGGAGGGAGCGCGAGGGCCAGGCAGCCCGTCACCCTGCATCTGCGCCGGCCCAGGGCCCAGGGTGAGTGAGGGTCCGGGGGTGGTGGGTTCGCCGGCCGCCTCGGTCTCACACCCGCCCCGCCCTGCCCTCCCACCTGCAGTGAAGTCGGCACTGAGGATGCTGGAAGGCCGCGCCGGCAAGGAGGCGCAGGACTTCGTCAGGAGGCTCAAGGAACTGGAGAAGGGCATGGAGGCGGACCCCTGAGCGCCCCTCGCCCACCCTGTGTGCCGCGGCGGCCCTCTAGCTCCTTCCCGCCCTGGCGGTGTCTGTGTGATGTGTGCCGTGAACGCCCCTTGCTTCCAGCGGGCACCCCCCTCCCTGGGTCTGAGGGTAACTCGGTGGGGCCTGGCCGGCCGCGGTCCCCCTGGACGCAGAGCAGAGTGGGCCTGGCCACTGGCCGGGCTTCTCCACCTGCTCCCTCAGCTTGGGCGGCCCGTGGCAGGCTCTCGGCGGGATGGCTTGCTCCCCAGGAGACGTGAGACCACAGCCGGAGGCCGCAGACTGAAGGAGGTGCTACGGCACCGCGGTGAGACCAGGGACGCTGCTTGAAGTCAGGGCCCTCCGCCCAGCAAGGAATGGCCCGCCCCAGACGTTACCAGGGCCACAGCCCTTCTTAGAGGAAGCAGGGTCGCTTGCTGGGGTGGGGAGTGTGGCAGGGCCTGGCCAGGCCAACAGGTCACACGGCCAGGTTTGAGTCTGGACAGCCCCGGCCGTGGGGGAAACAGCCCCTGGTTGCCCTGGTGGGGGACAAGGTGAAGATCTGGAAGCCCTCGCGCCGAGGGCGCACAGAGAGGTTTGCTATGCAGTGCACAGGTCTCCAATCCCTACCGGGGTCCCAGGCCTGGGAGAGGGTCCCCTGGCGTCACTGTGAGGCCGGGAATATCCCGTGAGGTCGATCGATCAGGGAGAGGGGCCCCATGTTGGCCACTCAGCTGTGTAGCTACTGTCCTTCCCTGTGTGCTGACATGCATGCCCATGCAAGGCGTGCCCATGCCCGGCCCCCCATGGTCCAGCGGCCCAGCCCATTCCCATCCGACTCTGCCTGGCTAGAGACCGAGAGTCCTCTCCCCGCCCATCCCCAGGCTACATGCAAAGAAACAGGCTCACACCGGGGTCTCCTGGCCTGCAGCTTCACTGGGAGGGCTCGGAGGGCCCAGAGCACAGCTGTGTCAGAACCGCAGGGACACAGCCCAGCACTGCTCGGTGTTGAGGGCTGAGGCTGCCAGGCCTGTCCGTGCCCTCACAAGTCCTGCCGCCCTCTCTCGAGTTCCTTATGGCACCGCCTCAAAAAAATACATGTGTCTGCAACCTTTAGTCTCTCTGCCGTTTCTTGATTCCTTTCCAAATCTCTGCCGGGGCCCTCGCCTCTGCACCTTGCCCCTGAGGATCCTCTTCCAGGCCACTGTCTCCCCCATCCTCAGCGTCAGGTCCACGCTCCACAGACTCATCCTCACTGCTGCTGTCATCGCTGTCTGGAAGTGGCCTGGAAGGGAGAGGTGTGTTCACTAGAGGCGCCACTCCTGGCACGCCCGCTCACAGAAGCCCCTCGGCTGAGAACGGATTCTCCTCTTCCGGGTTCTCTAAACCAACACCTCCCCCGTGGGGCGGCCAGGCTTCCTGACAACAGTCACAAAATCATCGTGCTGTTGGGAGATCCCGCCCCCCCCGCCCCCCGCCGTCATCTACAGGAGGGGCTGAGGCCAGAGGCGGAGGAGAGCCCTGGGTCTGAGCTGTCCCACAACGAGGAAGCCCAGGGACCTACCAGGTGCCAGCCACCGGCCTGTTGGGGTTTGCAAACTCGCGCCCCGAATCCACATCAAAAGGATCTGAAGGGAGCAAGTAAGAAAAACGCCTGCAAGTGAGCTCAGAGCACAACCAGGCCTCCTAGAGGCCGGGGCAGGATCCCCCCACCGGCTTCTCAAAGGGAGGCTGCAGGCCTGGAGGGGGACTAGGGTTAGGGTCCTGGCACCCAGCCAGCGCGCTCGTGTCCGCGCCAGGACTCACCGAGCTCCTTGTCCCCGGGGCGCTCCCTGGCGCAGGCCAGGAACTGCTGCTCCGCCTGCAGCACCTCCTCGGGGCCGCTGCAGGCCGCGTACTTGTCCAGGAGCTGGCGGTTCAGGTCTAGGAAGCCCTTGCCCCACTTGAACTTCCGCAGCAAAATGACAGCAAGGTCCGAGAAGCCTGACGGTGAGGATGCAGGAAACCAAGGGCGCTGACAACCCCTCTCCCGTCCCACGTGCTCCCAGCGCCCTCAGCGCTGTCCCGCGATCGCTCTGTTCCGCCGCCCAGACAGCCTGCTCACCGCCTCCGCCATCCACTAAGGCCCTCCCCCCACCTCTCATGGGGCCACCTGTCTGAGTCTCTGCTGGGTCCGTAAATTCTCTGAGGGCAAGTTGAGGGGTGACAGGTGGGATCGAAATCCTAGCGTGTCCCCCTTGGCGACTCCCCACACCCTCATGTGCCTCCTGGGAAGTGGCAGCAGAAAGCCCACTGCTGGGAGCGTAGCCCCGCTTCCAGGCTCGCAGGCTCCGGCGCTCACCCAGGATGCAGAAGGTGGCGGCAAAAGCCTCCACACAGGAGAGTTTGCAGGGCCGGCCGTAGTTCACGGGGTTGGCCGCGACCAGGTGGGGCAGCAGTCGCGTGTGGGTTCCCCGCATCTTCCCAAACGGTGTCTCATCCAGGCGAGCCCAGGAGCAGTCGATGACAGCGACCCCACACTGTGCCACCAGCTGTCTGTTAGGACCAGAAGAGGGCTGGGTGCTGGGGGCCCGCCCCACCGTCCTGTCCTGAGGACGGACTTCCCTGAGATACAAGATCATTCCCCGGCCCCCAAGCAGCCCCAACGGTATGTGTTCAGGGGCAGGCTCCTTATTCACTCGACGAATATTTACTGCGGCCCTACTATGTTCTGCATTAGGCAATGGGGGCAAACTAGACAAGTACATGCAGAAAAGCCCAGAGAGGAGCGACACCAGCGCCGCGGGCTTACTGAGACTCCCGCCCCCACCCCCGACGCCCCTGCTCCTACCTGTCCGCGGGGGACACGTACTGGGAGCCCACGGGGCTGAGCACCACGCCGCCGAACCTGTGGCCCAGGCGCAGGCAGCGCACCAGGCCCAGGCGCGCCAGCTTGCGGCCGGTGCAGCGCCGGGGGTCGCAGTGGCCCAGCTCCCACATGGCCAGCGGGCAGGGCAGCCGCGGCGGCCCCGAAATGCCTTCGTCCTCGGCCGCCTCTGGCTCCACAGACGCTGCACCGGAGCAGAGAAGGGAACCGAGCCTCAGGGGCAGCTCCGGGGACCAGCCCCGGCCTGCGACCCCGACCCATTCCCCGATCGCGCCCCACTCACCGCGCAGCGCGGCGCCCACCTCCTCGGCGAAGGCCTCCAGGGAGCGCCCCGCGGGGCGCCGAGGGCGGCCGCCTTCGGCCCCCGGCCCGCGCGCCGCCCTCCTGCGGCCCATGGCTGGAAGCAGAGGTGCGTCCCTGAGACTCCGGGAGCCCGCCTCCTCGGCGCCCTGTCTGCGCAGGCGCGGGGCGCCACTTCCGGCCCGGCGGCGCCCACGTGACGGCGCGCGCGGCGCAGCGATGGCGGCGACGCTGGGCAGTTTGCTGCTGCTGCTGGGGCTCGCGGCGCGCGGTTAGTGCCCCTGCGTCCCGGGTCCCCTCCCGCGCGTCCCCCGCCGGCGCCGCCCGGCCGCCTCCTCACTGCCCCGTTCCCCGTAGTGCCCGCGCCCGCCGCTGCCGCCAAGATGAAGGTGGTGGAGGAGCCCAACTCGTTCGGGTGAGCGGCCCCGCGGGGCGCGGCGGGGCGCGGCGGGGCCCCCCAGAGCCGGGGGCCCCCTGACCCTGCCGCTTCCCGCAGGCTCAACAACCCCTTCCTGCCCCAGACCAGTCGCCTCCAGCCCAAGAGGGACCCTTCCCCCCTGTCTGGTGAGTGCGGGGCCCTGGGCGCGGCCGCGGGGCGGCCAGGGAGGAAGCCGCGAGCCGGCGCGGGATTCCGACCCGGGGGGACAGGCAGCCTGGGAGGCTCGCGCGTTCGTCTGTCGGCCTTCCAGAGCTTGAGTGCGCGGTGGAGTTCCGGAAGGTTCTAAGTAGTTACGCCCGGATCTAGTCCTCTTTAGTTCCTTCGGCGGAGGTGATCTCCGTGAACAGTTTGGTACAGACGTGTTTTATGCTTTCACGTGCATGAGCATACGAGCAAAAGCGTGCACTAATTTGTTTTGGTGATTTTCTCCCTCTTTTTAAGATTTATTTTCTGCCCCCCTCCCTTTTTTTTGAACAGTGGTAACTACACAGGTTTGCTCATTTCCTCTTGTCGCTCACTGGGGGTCTTGGAATGTGAAGACACCGGTCTTCACGCTTTTCGCTTGATCCGTATGGTTTATAGGATGGCTCTGCGCTCCTTTATTGCCAGGCGTTAAGTTCGTTGGCCGATAGACACTTTCCTACTGAGGATTGCGCTTTCCTACTCTGAGTGGTTTTCTAAGGCACGGGGCCACGGAAGGATTTGCTGGGTAGTTAAATGAGAAATACAAGCAGGAGACATCCGGTAATTTTTTTTTTTTTTTACGTTGCACGTTACTGTGTGTTAGGGTGTGTGCTGGGAATGCAGAAATGAGCAAAACACACAGCTTTTCCTCCTGGAGTTGACAGTCTAACGGAGTGTGTGCGCGCGTCCGCCAGTTAACTAAGAAGTAGGTGAAATGTAGAATGCTTGATGATGAGAAATATCCCGAAGGTGTGGAAAGCAGAGAAGAGGGTATGTGTGCGAAGGGCAAGTGTGGTTTCGAGGATCACTGTTTTAATCACTGTGTAAATTCTCCACCCAGCGCGGGACACAAACAGGACGCTGAGATAAGAGTGTCACATGCTCTGTGGGGACTGAGCCCCCAGACCGCCGTCTATAGGGGTTCCCCTTTTAAATAAGGGGATCGGGAAAAGGCTGAGAAATGACATTTTGGTCAGAGGCTGAGGGAGAGAAGGAAGGAAGGGGATATGTGGGGAGGAGTGGCCGGGTAAAGGCCTTGAGCTAGAGGCCCAGGCCAGAGGGGTGGGGGGGGCGGGGACGGGAATGAGCTCCCAGAGGGACAGGGGTGAGCTGTCAGCCTAAACAAGTCTATCCCAGCTTTTTATTAGTAAAAGCATGGGAAAGAAAAATGGAGAAAGCGGACGGTGAACTAGGTGTCAGTGCAGCAGGTAGCATTTGCCTTGACTTTATTTTCCCCGTTACCGCCTTGAAGAAAGTGAACTTCCATTTTGTCCAACCATTTGAAACTGTCATGATGCTTTATCCCTAAGTAGTGCCAGTCTGGGTCTCCCACCGCCCCAAAATTCGCAGTAATTCCGTGTGGGAAGCAGGTCACATCCACGTTCCCCGTTGCCCCAGTGCCTTCTAGGCTGTCCCAGCCTCCCTGCTCCAGGAGTAGTGGCTGGCCACACGTGCATTTGGGTCATCAGGCGGTTTTAGTCACAATCTGGAACAGATCCCTTTACCCTCCACCCTCTCCAAAAACAAGGCTTTCATGACCTTGGCTCGCGCTGGCAGGACGCTCAGGGCGGTTGCGTGTGTCCCGCGTTCTCATTGCTGAGGACAAACCGACAGGTTCGGGGGTCGCGGGGGCCCCCGGTCTATGGGGCGTCTGACTCTTGGCTTTGGCTCAGGTCATGGACTCACGATCCGTGGATTCGAGCCACACAGGGTCTCTGCTGGCAGCTGTCCGCCCAGAGCCTGCTGGGAATCCCTCTCCCCCTCTCTGCCCTCCCTACTGGGGTACACACCCCTGCGCGCCCGCTTTCTCTTTCTCTCTCTCAAATAAATGTAAAACATAAAAAGAGCTAATCTTTACTGATAGGCTGATTAATAAGGGTCTTTTGCTTGTTTCTTCATTTTTTAATATTTATTTTTGAGAGACAGAGACAGAGCAGGAGTGCGGAGGGGCAGAGAGAGAGGGAGACACAGAATCCGAAGCAGCTCCAGGCTCTGAACTGTTACCACAGAGCCCGACTCGGGGGGTGAACTCACGAGCTGTGGGATCATGACCCGAGCTGAAGTCAGATGCTTAACTGACTGAGCCACCCAGGTGTCCCTCGTTTATTTATTTTTTTTTATTTTTTTTTTTAATGTTTTATTTATTTCTAGGAGAGAGAGAGAGACACACAGGGTCAGAGAGAGAGGGAGTCACAGACTGAAACAGGCTCCAGGCTCCGAGCTGGCAGTCAGCACAGAGCCCGACACGGGGCTCGAACCCACGAACCGCGAGATCATGACCTAAGCGAAAGTCAGACGCTT